GCAACAATGCCAAAGTCAGTTTGACAGTCTGAGTTATTGCCATAATTGTGGTTCTTTTACGAGCTCTAGCACGCCGACTATCGTTCTCGAGTTCGATCGATCGAGACGTCGCGTCGGTCACTTTTAGGTCAGCCAGAAGCTTCACAATATTTAATATCTTTTCTAAAACGATCTATAATATCTGTAATATTCCGGTTTTCATTGTTTTTATTATTACTGTTATTTTTATTATTATCAACAATACTTTCAAATAATTAACAGCGATAAAAATATAACGATTAATAACTTTCAATATATTGTTCTGTGACATTTCTTTCTTACTAATTCCTTTTCGTTAATTTAGAAAAAAATTTATTTTTAGGAACAGCTAAAGTTAATATACATCAAAGACACAATTATATATTGATTAATAAACATTACTCTTTTGCTTTGTTTCTTTTTCATCGTTATTACATTGTTCTCTGATATTTGCTTTTTTCTTTTTAAATCATCTAACAGCCATGAAGTAAAAGAATGAAGCAAACAAATGGAAAATATTCCCTCGCTTCAGTTTAATTTTTCGTTGAAATTTGCATTTACAAACATATTAAAAATGCAAATGGTGGAAATTGCAGAAACTTCGGCTGACTTTCAAGCCGAAATAGAATCTCGCCCGTTGCATTCTCATAGAAGTTTCAATGAATATTATTACCTTCAACATTGCAAACTCCTATATTTATTAATTCAGTTACCTACGTTCGATTGGACACCAATTCATCTGCAAATCTCTTATGATACGGACAAAAAGAAACAAAGAAAAAAAAAAAAGAAAAATAAATGATAGGCATGGTACTTACTAATCGTAAGATCCACTCGAAACACATCTCGTGGCTAATAGTACAAGTGGTCGAAGGAATACATACATTCTATTAAAGATGTTATTCACAACGTATCGACGCTGCAGTGAAGAATATAACTGAACCAATAATCACAGGTTTCATATAAAAAATAATTATTTTTTTTTATCGCTATCAATATTGAGATATGACACAAAATAAATACAGAGTGTCCCGTAAATCGTGGATAATTTATTTCCACGTGTGGAGGATGATTCTGCACGTGGAAATGAATCGACAAGAAAAAATAAAATTGGTTCACTTGAACCCTCGTTTTCTAGAGAATCAAGTTTGATTTATCAATCGAAGAATATTTTTCGTTACAATTGTATGGAAAGGCATTCAGAACTTCAAGAAATTCGATGCTTCATGAACTCTTTGATTTGCAAATTCCGTAAAACCTTGATACTAAAGAATAAGAATTTCTTAAATTATTTTTCATTTCTTTCTCGTAATTTTTCAAACTACTCTTAATCACTTTGTAATTTCGAATTTTAGTCAAATTGCTGTGCCCATTAAACGTTCTTAGTTATCTTTCAATTTCAAACGTACGCAAATGAATTTTTCATATTTTTAAATGCTTTTCCAGCAATCCTGTGATTTCCTTCATCGAAATTATCACATGCATGTTTCTAATACGTCATCACATTAATTCAAACGAGAAATCATCTACGCAGAACCTATGATCATTGCTTCAAAAATTATTCTCTCCACGTGTACGTGTCAATTGTATGCCAATCAAACATATCGATCGATCGAGATCGACGTGACGAGTCGTTGATCGTTCTCGATCACGATCAAAATTCAGTTGCCAAATATACGTAAATTATGCATTCACAACCATAATACCGTTGCAAACATTCTGCTCGTTGAATACTCATGCTTCTTTTTTTTTTCTTTTCGATAGAATTCTCTTACCTGTTGTTGGTTCGAGATCAACGACTGGACTGTTCGTCAACGACACTATCATGCAAAAGTTTGACTACGTACGTACTCCAATCAAAAACTGAACCATTCGTGTAAATAGTATCGCTAACTCGGTTAAACTTGGTTGCACGGGTTGCTCGGCGATAGTTACACTGTTCTAATTAATCCAAAAGTACTAATTAAAATTAATCCAAAAATATTCAGCGACTCGTTTACTGAATTTTATTTCAATCCGTGTACGTTCAATTCCTTGCAGGCAAATTTTTCCACTCTACATGTTTTCATTGATGTTAAACTGTACGGGCATAATATAGAGGTGAAGATAAGGGAGAGTTTTGCTATAAACATTCTGTTACAAAGTTAGAAGCAAATATATCGATCATAGTCTGAAATACACGTATAGCAAATATACGTATTGTTTTATTATAAAATATAACGAAGGTTGGTCAGATTTATTATCTTTGAGTTGTCACGACCGAGTGAAATTTAAAAATACTTGGATTCTTGTGTCAGATATATTGCGTTTATTTTCGGCTAAAATGTTGATCAATGTTCGATCGAATAGATTTTTGCTGTTTATTTCAACGTGAACCATTGCTCGAGACAGTATGCTTTTCAAACATATATTTCCTCAAAGTGATTACTAGACTGCTTTTATGTATATATAGAAAAATTAGAAATTTCTGAATAAATGTGGAGAATAAATCTGTCGTGATTTTTATAATATTTGGCAGATAAAATAATTTTTGTGAGGTTCCATTTTTTAGCCCCTATAACTTTAATTATAACTTTTCTCATATGTTTAAAATTAACGATACGTGCATTCGAGGGTTAAATTATATTATTATTACTACTATTGTACTATAATTATAATGAATTACATTACATTACATTATTATATGAATTTGCATAAAAATCTGCAGCCTAAATTCAGTGGATCAATTTATAAATTATTGATTCCTCGAAAAATTCATAACAAACAGCTTAGTTCTTTTGACTCTCATTTTTAATTGCACTCCAGCAATTTAACCAAAAAAAAAAAAA